AATAAAAACAACCCAGGAAACTACAGACCAGTCAGTTTAAATTCTGTGCCAGGAAAAAAATGGAACAAGTAATAAAGGAATTCATCTGCAAATATCTGGAAGAAAATAAGGTGATAGGTAACAGCCAGCATATGTTTGTGAAGAATAAATCAAGTCAAACCAATCTAATAGCTTTCTTTGATAGGATAACAAATCTTGTGGATAAGGAAAAAGCGGTGGACCTAGACTTTAGTAAGGCAATTGATATGGTCTCACAGCGTATGTCTACACTACAGTGTTATTTCAAAATATCTTATTTTGAAATAACGTGTCTACACACAAAATGCATTTTGAAATAGCGTTTTGCTATTTTGAAATAGCGCATCCACACTGAGTGGACGCTGAATCGCATTTAAGGCCAGCCGGAACCAGGTCTGGGAAGGCATCAGGTCAGGCGTTACTGTGCGGGGCTGCTGCCTGAGGCTATCTGAGCTTAAAGGGACCCCTCGCACAGCCAGTTCTCAGGTTTCTCTGCTTGCTTGCCTACCTCGATGAGGGACAGCAAAGCATTTTGTCTCTGGGTATGTCTAGATTACATGGCTCCGTTGATGGAGCCATGTAGATTTGTTTTTTTGGCAAAGGCAAATGAAGCCGTGATTTAAATGATCGTGGCTTCATTTAAATTTACATGGCTGCGGCGCTGAGCCGACAAACAGCTGATCATCTGTTTGTCTGCTCAGCACGCTCCTCGATGAGGGACAGCAAAGCATTTTGTCTCTGGGTATGTCTAGATTACATGGCTCCGTTGATGGAGCCATGTAGATTTGTTTTTTTGGCAAAGGCAAATGAAGCCGTGATTTAAATGATCGTGGCTTCATTTAAATTTACATGGCTGCGGCGCTGAGCCGACAAACAGCTGATCATCTGTTTGTCTGCTCAGCACGCTAGTCTGGACATTTAAATGTGAGATAGCTTCCATTCAGTGTGGATGCTATCTTTTGAAAAAAACAGATAATTTTTTCTATGTGCTTTGGCAATGTGGATGCTCTCTTTTGGAAGAAGTTTTTTCTGGAAGATCTCTTCTGGAAAAGCTTCTTCTGAAAGAAGCCTACATTCTAGACATAGCCACAGACTTTAAGGCCAAAAGAGGCTATTGTGATCTGGGAACAATTTGCACAGTGCGGGTGCTATGAGTGTGTGTCAACAAACCCACCACTGCTAGTTCCAGCACCTGTGATTGAGATTATGTAGTTTGATTTCTGCCATAGAACCCCAACCACTTCCTTTTATAATAGAACCCTAACTTCTGAGTTACTGAAGTCCTCAAATAAAGATTTAAAGGTTTTTAGGTACAAAAAACCAACCAACAGGTGATCCATGACACATGCTGCAAAGGAAGTTGAACCCTGCCGCCTCCACCCCTCCCCCCAAGATCTCTGCCAGTCCAACCAAGGAAAATCTTTAAGACCCCAAATATGGAAATCTGTTATACCCTGAGCAAGATACACCAGCAACACCTTGAGGGAAAGAATTCTCTGTAGTAATTCAGACTATATCTAGACTACATAGAATTTTTGAAAGTGAAAGTAGTCTGGATGCATTTTTTTCAGAAAAAAAAACCTTTTTGAAAAAATCGCTCTTCCTTAAAAAAGGAGGTTTATGCGTTTTTTTCAAAAAAGGGTTTCTTTCCCGAAAAAAAATGCGTCCAGACTGCTTTCACTTTTGAAAGATCCTCTTTTGAAAGTGAGATCAGAAGAACTGGAATTTGCATACCCTTTAGAAAAAAAATCGTAGTTTAGACGTGCCCTCAGAATCTTCTCCATTTAGTGCCCAATCTCTGGCCACTGGGGATATTTGCTACAAGCTGTCACAGGTGGGCCACATGCCATCTTATCATACCATCCTTTGCATAAGAAGTGGGAGGGGAAGCTCAGGGTTAGAGTCTCGCCGGACCAACTTGATTGTTATGCAAACCTGCTCCTGGGTTCGCATGTGGCCTTTGGTGGCCAGGCTGGTCAGGCTAGTGTGGAGATCATGGACATTGGGGGCATCCCCCCAAACCTGAATAAGGTCCATAATCTCCACCCTGGACCAGGAATGTGCCCGCCTTCTCCAGGCCCTGGCAGGCTCCTGGGATCTGGCAGACTGCTCCTGGGGAGTGGGGGGGGGCTGGCTGCCAGTGGCTTGCTGGCTCATGTTTTGGGGCCACTGGGTCAGGGGCAGTGACTGCTGGCTCTGGGCTGGCAGTTTTGAAGCTGGCACAGGCACTGTGGCCAGAGTCTGCACTTTTAAGGGCTCTGGGGAAGGGCGAGGGAGAAAAGTGTTCTTGGCACCTTGGGAAGGCTGGAGGCCCCCTATTTCAAAATAAGTGTCTACCCAGTACTTATTTCAAAATATCTATTTCGAATTTGGTGTTAGTCCTCATAGAATAAGGTTTACCAAATTCGAAATAAGCGCTGCACTATTTCGATTTAATTTCAAAATAGCGGATGGCTCGTGTAGACGCTAGTAAAATTATTTCAAAATATCAGCTGTTATTTCGAAATAACTTTGCTGTGTAGACATACCCACATGAACTTCTTATCAATATACTAGGAAAATACAACTTACAGGGGACTACTATAAGCTGGGTGCATAACTGGCTGGATAACCATTCTCAGAGAGTAGATATTAATGGTTCACAATCCTGCTATTAGGGCATAATAAGTGGTGTTCCACAGGAGTCTGTTTTGCGACCAGTTCTGTTCAATATCTTCATCATCGAGTGAGATAATACCCCCAGGTTTATTAAATAAAGAGTGTATGTTAATTAAGTTTGCAGGAAATACCAAGCTGGGAAGAGCTGCAAGTGTTTTGGAGGATAGGGTCATAATTCAAAATGAACTGAACAAACTAGAGGAATGGTCTGAGGTAAGTAGGATGAAGTTTAATAAGGATAAATGCAAAATATTCCACTTAGGAAGGAGCAATCAGTCTCACACATACACAATGGGAAGTGACTGTCTAGGAAGGGGTACAGCAGAAAAGGATCTAGGGGTCATAGTGGACCACAAGCTAAATATGATCCAACAGTGTGACACTGTTACAAAAAAAGCAAACATGATTCTGGGATGCATTAACAGGCGTGCTCTGAGCAAGACATGATAAGTCATTCTTCCGCTCTACTCTGCACTGATTAGGCCTCAATTGGGGTATTGTGTCCAGTTCTGGGCACCACCTGGTCCAGAGAAGAGCAACAGGAATGATGAAAGGTCTAGAGAACATGAGCTATGAGGGAATAAGGGAAGACTGAAAGAATTGTGCTTTGGAAAGGAGAACACTGAGATGGGGCATGATTGTGGTTTTCAAGTGTCTAAAAAGGTGTCACAAAGAAGAGGGAGAAAATTTTTTCTCCTTAGCCTCTGAGGATAGGACAAGAAGCATTGGGCTTAAACTGCAGCGAGGGAGGTTTAGGTTGGACATTAGGAAAAACTCCCTAACCGTCAGGGTGGTTAAACACTGGAATAAATTGCCTAGGGAGGTTGTAGAATCTCCATCTCTGGAGATATTTAAGAGCAGGTTAGATAGACATCTTTCAGGGATGGTCTAGATGGTACTGGGTCATGCCATGAGGGCAGGGGACTGGACTTTATGATCTCTCGAGGTCCCTACCAGTTCTAGTGTTCTATGATTCTATGATTTTAAGAACACTTTCATTGCAGATTTGACAAAATAAAAAAAAAGTAGCAAAGTCAAATTTCTAAAGACCGCTACAGTACTTAACTCAAGGTTTAAGGATCTGAAATGCATTACAAAATCTAAAGGGAAGGAGTGTGGAAGAGCAACACTCTGCTATAGAAACTGTAGAACCCGAACAACTAAAAAAGAAAATCAACCTTCTCTCGATAGCATCTGACTCAGATGAAGAATATGAATAGTTATCAGTCTTTGTTGCTTTGGATCGTTATCAAGCAGAATCTGTTATAAGTATGGACACATGTCCTTTAGAAAGCTACATCTAGACAGCCAGTGGTGGCCCCTCAATACAGGCAAACTAGGTGGTTGCCTAGGGCGCCAAGATAAATGGCCGTTGAGGGCTTTGGAGGCATGGGCGCCGATCGCTCATTTCGCCTAGCGTGCCAGTTGCCGGCAGCTCATCTAGGGTCGCTCCTGTAGACAGCGGTGCTATTTCAGGATACTAGAAGTATCCCAAAATAGCTATTTCATGTCTTTAAACACACTCATTATTTCAAAATAGATTTTGAAATAACAGGTGCACTATTATGGCATCCCTGTAACACTCATTCCATGAGGGTTAAGGGACATTTCGGGATAGTGCTTAATAAGCTATTTCGAAATTAGATTGAAATAAGAAATTCAGTTTGTGTAGCTCAAATTGTGTATCTTATTTCAACCTCTGGGTGTAGTGTAGATGCACCCGATTAGTACTTGAAACATGAAGAGAAATATAAATCTTTAATGTATTTGACACATAAATACCTTGCAATGCTAGATACCGGTGTCATGAGAATTCCTGTTCTGACTTTCCGGTGACATTATAAATGAGAAGAGGGCAGCATAATCATCTGCAAATGTGAACAAGCTTGTTTCTCTGTGCATTTAGCTGAACAGGAAGTAGGACTGAGTGGGCTTGTAGGCTCTAATATTTTTTACATAATTTTATTTTTGAATGCAATTGGTTTTTTGTATATAATTCTATATTTTGAAGTTCAACTTTTATGATAAAGAGATTGCACTACTGTACTCTTATTAGGTGCATTGAAATACTATTTTTTGTGTTTTCTATAGTACAAATATTTGTAATCAATATAAATATGAAGTGAGAACCGTACACTTTTTGTATTGTGTGTTGTAACTGAAATCAATATATTTGAAAATGTAGAGACTGTCCAAAATATGTAAATAGGAGGTATTCTATTATTGTTTAACAGAATGATTAATATTAATTTTAAAATAATTATATTAATCACAATTCATATTTTTAATTGCTTAACAGACCTAATTTATTTTTTCAATAACAGATTCCTGTGCTTCTCAACCTGAGTCAAGATCCTGATGTTAACCTGCCTGTGAAACCACTCATCTTTTCCTTGGCCATGGGTGCATGTCTTGGAGGTAAGAGACTGTAATAATTGGCAAATTGCAGTATGTATAAACATTCCACAGAATAGTTCAATAAGGTCCCATGATTATATTATAGAAAGCACACACAGTTCATAGTGTCAAGTATAAGAGGGGTAGCCGTGTTAGTCTGAATCTGCAAAAGCGACGAGGAGTCCCGTGGCACCTTATAGACTAACTCTTCCCCTTGCTTCCCTCTTCATGCTCCCTCCTCCCAGGTTTCTCCCTCCCCTCTCCCGCCTTCTCTACTCCTCTCTCCCACCTCCTTTCCCCAGTCTCACCAGAGTTTCATTCCCTCCCCCCCAGTTTTGTTAAATAAAGAGAGTTTGTGTTCATGAAAATATGTGTGTTTTATTTGACATTAGGAAGGGGGGTTAGGTTGGGGTAAGTGGAAGTACATGAGGGAGGAATGAGGCACAAGCCCGCAGTGGGACAGACCAGGGAGGCTCTTGGTGCTTCTCAGGGTGAAAGCTCTCCCGCAGGGCCTCCTGGATACTGACAGCCCGCCGATGGACCTCCCAGATTGCAGCCTGCAGAAAATGCAGCCAGGCTAACAGCAAGGCGTCAAAGAGAAGTACCAAAGTGCCCAGGGGCAGCTCTGGGTCCATGTTGCAGAGTGCTGTGGTGTACCGAGTGAGGGCAACCAGAGCACGCAGAGGAAAAAATGCTTTGCTGTCCCTCATCGAGGTAGGCAAGCAAGCAGGGAAATCTCAGAACTGGCTGTCCGGGCGGGGTGCCTTTAAGCATAGACCTCAGATAGCCTCAGGCTGCAGCCACACAAAGGAACTCCTGACCTGATGACCTCCTGGACCTGGTTCCAGCCAGCCTTAAATGTGATTCAGCATCCACTCAGTGTGGATGCGCTATTTCAAAATAGCAAAACGATATTTCAAAATGCATTTTGTGTGTAGACGTGTTATTTCGAAATAACGATTTCAAAATTGTAGTGTAGACATACCCTCATATAATTTATTTCTGATTTGTTTGGAATTTGTTTGAAGGTCTGTTATGTATAAAGTTTAGCTGGCACAGAGTAGCAGTCTAGATGGTGCTCAGAGGGTTCAGATCTTTTGTGAGGATAAAGGAAAAGGACATATTTAACTTTCTCATAGATGCCATTGTTACACATTTAAAAGGATATGAAGTTAATGTATAATATCTGTGATCTAAAGGTCTGTTCCAAAGGTCGTTGAAGACATTGGGAGGGTTTCCACTGACGTAAGTGGGATTTGGCTGAAACTCAGAAGACTACTTACAGATCTATTCACTGCCGTATTTAGCACTCCTTACTCAGACAAAACTCCCATTGAAATCAACGTGAAATGAAGTCAGTGGGAGTTGTGCCTCAGGAAGGAGAACTGAATAGAACCCAGCAGTATTTAGTTAAAAATAAAATATCATCTTGGTGGTAACTTGGCTTCCTCGTGTTGGTGCTGGAGTGAATGTACCTCACCATAAAACAGTTTGCTAAATTAAATGGATTTTGTTGTTATTAAAGGACTCCCCAAAGAGTCTGTTGCAAGCCCAGTCTTCATTTTAATTTATAATAGCTGTATAGGGTAGCCATCTGGTAGCACTTTAATTCACTTTTATGTTTGGTATTTTTTATATGCTACAAATACTTCTCTGTCATTGGTTATCAATGAGTTACAACAGGAGCTAACAAAAATACTGACTAGCTTACTTTTTAAGTGCAATTAAAATAGTGTGTGATTTTAGTAGAATAACAAATCTAATAAACAAGGAGTCGTCCTGTAGCACCTTAGGGTACATCTAAACTACATTTTTTTTGAAAGAGGATATGCAAAATCCTATGGAATTTGCATATCTTTTTCCAGTTTCACTTTTGAAAGAGGATCTTTCAAACGTGAAAGTAGTCTGGATGCATTTTTTTTTGAAAAATCCCCTTTTTGGAAAAAAATGCGTAAATCTTGGTTTTTAAGGAAGCGGTTTTTTGAAAAAGGTTTATTTTCCCTGAAAAAACTGCATCCAGACTACTTTCACTTTTGAAAGATCCTCTTTCGAAAGTGAGATCGGAAGAAGATATGCAAAATAGAACGTAGTCTAGACATAGCATCATAGACTAACAGATTTATTGGAGCATAAGCTTGCGTGAGCAAAGATCCACTTCATCAGATGCAACATAGAACAGATGTTCATAGAATAAATCTTATGTTGATTTTGATTGCTGATAGTACCCAAGAATTTAATATTATTTAATGCAATAATTTAATTCATGTATAGGGCTGTTTTGTCTTACACATATTTAGATAGTTGTTTAGATGCTCCTAAATTCATATTGATTTTCCATCACAAAAATTAACCTAAATTTGAGTTTCCTGTGCTACACAGGTCTTTTCTCATTTATTCAGCTAAATGACTGATAGTTTAAATAACCTTAGTACCCAGCAAAGATTATAATGACGTAACAGACAGATTGATTTTTAAGGGTGCATTACAGAGACTGGATACTTTATATCAATCAACAGTTGTTTGTTACAGGGATATCTTTTTATAGTCTTCATTGTGGCTTAGTCAGCTGATCTATCCCTCTTTATCACAGGGTATGAACCATCAGCATTTGTTAAAGTAAGGGCTTGGCTAGATAGTTGGTTTGCAGGAAGCTGGGATGTAAATGTATTGTGTGCTAGCATGCCATGCACTAAGGCTATGTCTACACTGGTGGCTTCTTGTGCAAGAACAAGGGTTCTTGTGCAAGTAGTCTTACAAGAACATCTTGCACAAGGGTTCTTGTGCAAGTAGTCTTACGCAAGAAAATGTCCACACTACTGCAAGAGCGTCCATGGCAGTGTGGATGCTCTCTTGCACAAGAAAGCTCTGATGGCCATTTTAGCCATAGGGCTTTCCTGTGCAAGAAATCCCTGCCGAGCATCCATACTACCCTCTTGCACAAGAGTTCCTGTGCAAGAGGGCTTACACCTGTTAAAAAAGAGCATAGCTCTTGTGCAAGAAGCCCTCTCTTGCCACGCTGTACTGTAAATTTCCTTGCTCAAGAGCGGGCGGGCAGTGTGGACGCTCTGCGGATTCTTGCGCAAGAACGGCCATAATTGCGCAAGAAGCCGCAAGTGTAGACATAGCCTGCCAGTCTGTGTGAGCCCTGCCACCATGCCCTAAAAATTCCCAAGTACATTTTAATCTACTCCCATTTCAAGCAGCAAAAGGTCAGTATATACTAGGGAACTTTTAGTGTATGGTAGCAAGATCCACATGGACAATTAGAATGTGTTAAAATACTGTTCTATAGATTTACTCCTCAGTGTGTACTGTGCATTTACTGAACACCTAGAGAAACCTACCAAGGAGAGAATTTGTTCATGCTTGTTCTGATACTACTATGAGGCTATGTTTACACTACACTGTTCTGGAAAAAGCTACGCAAATTGCTGTTTACAATTTGTGTAGCTTTTTCCGCTTCTTTTTTTGGAAGAGGCTTTTCTTAAATGTGGTCCATCTACATTGGGCCAAATGTTGGAAAAAAACCCTTTTTTGGAACATCCCTTCTTCCTCGTAAAATGAGGTTTACAGGGATGCCAAAAAAGCGCTTCTGCTCTTCTGAAAAAAATTTCAGAAGAGTAGACGCGTTCTCTGGATGAGGCAGTTTTTCCTGGATACCTCTGCTATCCTGGAAAATCTCTGTAGTGTAGACATAGCCTGAAATCATTAAAGTGGTTGGCTTGGCTCTTCAACAGAGGGAGTTAGGTGGCCAAATTCCTTTGGAATTAAACAAAACTCAGATACCTGACCCCTTCATGATTTGTTAGTAGTATATAATTGTCATTTCTGAATTTCATTTGCTTTTTTGTCCACATTTTGTCCAGGATACCAGAGGTATCATCGTATGTTATTAAAGAGAGAGAGTGGCCCGAATATGTGTGAAACATGCAACACTGGTCAAGGTGTAAATTGTGCATTGAGAGCTATTTAAATGAAAGGCACTATGTGAACACAAGAAGTGCTTTGATGATCTGCCATGTAATAATTTAGATGAATAGCCTGAGAAAGCGTTATCATGATTAGTTAGTAAACTCAGCAATGAACTCTCTCCACAGCACTTTGTCATCATTTGAAAATAAAGGGTAGCTACTGTGGAAGGCTGAATGAAATATGTCAGTCAGAGGATGGATGGCCTGAAGGCCAAGGTACAGACTCTTGGTGTTCACATATCAAAACAATCTGCTACAGCTTGAAAGTAGTGAAGTGGATCTTGGCAACAGGGCAGTGACTAGAACCTAAGAGTGAAAAATGCTCAGAGTACGCTTGTTTAAAGTACATTAGCAGCCAAAATGATTAAACCTGCTTTCTCATGTGAAAGTGCCAGTCAATGGCCTTTTTAAAATTGTTTACAAAGAAAGAATGTATGTGTGTTGAAATGGTGTAAAGCAGTGTTTCTCAAACTGGGCTTCATGAGACATCTCCAGGGGCGCCGTGAGGTTGACAAACTAGAAACATCGATAGGTACAACACATACTATCAGTGGACCACTGGGGCTCCGCATAAATTTTTATGCATGTAAAGGGCTCTGGAGCCCAAAAAGTTTGAGAACCGTTGGTATAAAGAAATCCCAGGAAGGAAACTAATTCTATTGTATTGTAACTATACAAGGCAATTATAATGTGATTCTCTATAGCATTGGGGAGAGAGTGGATCTTATCAGCCACCCATGCAATCAAGGAAATTAAACACACAAGCCATTACATAGGGAAATTTGACTAACCAGTACAGATCTCAGCGAACATAGATTTCCAGGTTGGTTGTTTACAGTACACAGCAGCATGGTTCTATTGCTCTATTGTCAGCAAGGCCTACGGGAAATACTTTTGCACACACTGAAGATTAGTGTTAGTCAGTTCATCACTAGCCTTTTCCCTGGCACTAGTACTAATACCCTTGATATTAGTACTAGGGCATTTACACTGAATGCTGCTGATTCTTTTCTGCACCTGGCAGCTCTTCCTGTAGTTGGGGTGCTCCTA